GCCCCCTCCTTTTCCCCCCCCCCCCCCCAATTGATTTCCTGACATGCTCGTGACAGGTTCAGACCTGAGGTGAAGTGACGAGGATGGAAGTGACTTAATAAAATAAGGAAATCAAACGAAAGCAAGTCCGTGTGTCAGAATTTCTTGACTTGGCTGGATGAAGAGTGGAAGGCTTTCTTCTTTCGGAATACAAATTGATATACAGTAAAGCTAGCTGAAGGAATTCTGTATTTGCATGATGGCTCTGTCTGAGGCAAATCTTTTTTAGATTGTGTGCTGAGCGGTGACATGGTGTCGTGTGAGATAGTTTGGTGACCTTGGCAGGTTATTCCTCATTCCTGGTTTTTAGCAGGGGAGAAGTAAATTACAAACCACGTGTTCTTCTAGCTTCATCTGGCCTTTGGTAGCGCTGTTCTTTTGTTTTGCTCGGATCCTCTCCAAAGCCTTTTCAAAATACGATGCATTTTTCATCACATCCTTTCTTACCGCCCCCTCCGTTTTCGCTTTGTTCTCCTTTAGCTACGATGATGCAGTGAAATATTAATGACAGGACGCACATTCATAGTCTTAGTCTCCCCAAAGCATTTTTTTTCTTTTCTGTCGTCTCTCCCACTGCTTTCGCTTCCTTCCCGTTGTTTCGTAATCAGATCAACATTCATATCGCAGCCAAAGCTGCCAAGTGGAAGAAGGAGCAAGCTCAGTCAATGAGATTATGAATGTTTGACTGCTTCCCTTGTGTCTTTAGGAATGTTGCTCGTCTCGCCCACAAATACTGTCTAGGACTAGTTTATAAATGCGAAAGCGATCCCACTTGGAGAGAGCTTTTTTTTTTTTTTTCATCAAATGATGCAGTCAATTCGAGTTTATTTTCAAGCGCAACAGAGGTTGACCTCAGTGACCTCAGATTGAAATACAAATAAAATACAAATTTAATATAATCCATCTGTCAACTATATCCTGTCTGACTATTGAAGAAATTTAATATTCCCCTGCCGGAAATCATTGTTGGCCATTTCTTGTCACCATGTCAAAATTGGCGTCCCCGGTTGAAATTTGGTCACACTCGTGTGAATTTCCTAGCAGATGTTTGTTTAGGTACGAGCCTTGGAAATGACCAAAATGCCTGAAAAATGGCATCTTCGAACCAAAATGTCCGACTACTAATGCATTTCACGCAATCGGTTCTTGATTGATTGAAGTATGTTTTGTCATGATTAACATTGAACCCACTGGTGGCAGGTGCAAATATTTCCCAAGTCGCTGTTGGCTGCGACAAAGTCGGAGTTGCATTCAGGACCGCCGAAATACATAAATTTTGCAAGGATATGCATTTGCGCAATGTTTGGTGTGTTTCTCAGTCTGGTTTTCATGGCAAATCTTGAAACTTTCCCGCCACACTCACATCTTGTGATTAAAAGCAAAAAAAACCCCAAAACAAACCAAAAAAAATGTAATAATTTTCACAATTTTGCAGCGCTCATCCTGTATCGTATTTCTGCTTCAAAATTTGGTGACAATTGTTTAAATTCCTTCGGGGGAGTTTGCTAAGGCCAACCTCTGGAAATGTGCTGAATCCCAGATAAATAAGGGCACCTTCAAAAGAAAATGCCGGACGACCTGTGTGTTTTACAGAATGGCTTCATCATTGATTTTTCTGCCTCCTGTCACGAAGAAAATGTGTGCCAGATTTTGTGTGAATCGGTCACACGGGCGGCTTCTGCTACCGAGGTGCTTTCCCCTCAAATTCGACCTCGAATGGACATGGGCTGTGTTCAAACTCCTTCCTTATCGAAACATATGTCACATGTATTGTGAGTTTACCATTTTGTAGTGAGAGTAAGTTATCTCCTATATGGTGCCATAAATGTATCCCCCCATTGAAGAGTAGTCGTGAGTGTCATACAGAAACCAGTCCACTGTGTAATCTTGGATGGGCTCCAGGTCACCTTCGATGCAGAACAGGATTAGCCGGATAGAAGATGGATGAATGAATGGGTAGTGTTCTTTCTGCTCTTATAGGGCGGGGTGTACTCGAGATGGCCAGCACAGTGTATATCAAGATTTGCTATCATAAATATCAAACAGGATTTACATTTATGATAGTCGGCTGACTCTTTCTCACTCCAGACACCAAAAGATAAAGGATAATATTTCAGAGACGTCTGAGCAGTTCAGTATCTTCCTCAAGGAGACTTTGACAAGGCCGCAGAGACCGGGGATTGAATCCCCAACTTCGGGGTTGGGACATGACCGCTCTACCACTGAATCATGCCGTGCTCAATTATTGCCCAGTTTTGACTGATTTTTGAAAATGTGAGTGATCTTACCGCTACAATATCAGAGTATGTGGTGTTTGCAAGATCATCAACTCAGCACACCGCACACATAACGATATCTCCACTGACGATCTTGAGCGTGTAAGTTCGATCGCTTCCTAATTTCATGGTACAATCTCAAGTGTCCATTGCTGGACTGAACACTGTGCTGACCACATGAGGATTTGTCATCTTAAACACTGAACAGGTTTAACGTTTACGATAATCAGCCCCTGACTCTTTACCAAATTGATGCCGAAGGAAAAATCTTTTTCAAAACTCGAAGGAGATCGCTTCAGTTAATTTTATCGAGACATCCGACAATTGATCCTTTAATCGGAAGGGGTGAAATAAATACTCCAGTTCAACCTGATTATTGTTTATGCGTTTACCTTGCTCAACTCAAAGCATTTTTTTCTTCTCCTCAGGTGGCTCTTCCCTGTTCCAAACAGCCACCGACCGCGACAAGTGCCTTCTAGTGGCGAGTGGACATCACATCCAGCTGATCGGGATACTGATGTGATTCTCGCAATGGAGACCAGCGCTTGACTTGTGGTGAGTTAATTGCGACGACTCATCGCAGCTGCCCTTTCGTGGAAAGTGTTGCGTTAGCAGTTGGCGCATCAGCACTTTCAACCTGCAGCATATGCACATCCGATATGGCTATTTATTACAGGGAAGGCCATGAAAGCGCAGGTGGAGAGTAGAATTAGGTCAGAATTCCATTTTGTTTTTGTTTTTTTTAAAGCCTGCATGGTCATCCAAGCCTTAGTAGGCATTTTCAGTTTTGAGACCTGGTTGGAACTAGAAGGCAGAACAATTCATTTCCACTCTCCTGAGATTATTTCTGCAAGATGGTGGAGAGTTTCTTGTTGAATTTACTAAAAATTGGAAACACATGATTGTCCAGAATGTCTTGGTAAGATGGAGAAAATGAGGTTTAGGAGTACAGACTACACACAATCGGGAGCGAAAGGAATGAGTGCATGTATGCATGGTTGGATTGAATGCAAAGGTATTAAGTTTAGCATTTTATAGAAAAATACAAAACATTTCTTCATCTGGATTTTACAGGCAGCACAGTGGGGCATTTGTTTTGCACAGCTGCCTCACAGTCAAGATTCAAGGTTTAAATCCTTCCCGCATGCATGTTTGGTTAAATGATGACTCTAAATTGTTCATAGAGTCACATGATGTCATGGTTCCCTCTTGGTATAGGCAGTGAGGGTTCAATTCCCAGTCAGCGAGAGTGTGAAAAGTCTTGTCTTTATACGCGCCCTATGATTGAGTGGCAACCATTCCAGGGTGTAGTTCCACTTCTGGCACAAAGTCAGTCGCGATCGGCTCCACTTTCCTGTGAAGGATGAGCCGGATAGGGAATTGATGAATGAATGAAAACATTCGGGACTTTCTCATGCAAGTTCGTTTTCATCCCCAACCTGGGATGAAAGTGAATCACCCCAGCGTGAGAGCACAATGGCCTTCTCGATAGAGTAAATTAATTGTGACTTTGCAGGTACTGTCGTAGTTTTTCTAGTTTGTACCCGTGTTCGTATAGAGATAAGAAAGTTTCAGACCTGTCGTTTTTCTAAAATCCTGCTTTAATCTTACACACCACCGTTGGGGAATTTTTCATCTCGACAGATTAATTAGTACTCTACCTTGCAATCCACTCTAGTACTAAAAAGGTTGGCCCAATTTCTGAAGTGAAGGCCTTAATTATCCTTTGGGGGAAAAAAATCCTTCATTATGCCATTCAAAAGTCGAAAAAAAATGCCACAGATGGAATACACATCAGTTACGCTGCATTCATAATAAAAATGTAACTTTCTTTGAGGGGTTAGAAAAGGAGGCATTTATTTGGGAATTATTCTGAAAGGGCATTAAAAATGCTTTCCATTGGTGTGTCGCTTGTGGAAATTGGGTAATATTTGTTGAAAATAATATGTCAATTTAAATATCAGGAATTAAGTAGATGGAGAAGAGAAGTGTTAAATCCAGATTCAGATAGTAAAAACTCAGCCACGGATTGGCTATAGCCACAGGTGCCATCACACGTGCTTCTATTTACCTGACTGCGCTGTGCCTCGCCATTACATGCCACAGGCGCACCTGAAAATTTGGTGACAAAAAGTAAACAAGACTTGAGACCAGGTCACATATGTATGCACAATGGGTGGTGCAAGGCAGTGGAAGGGCCGACCTCACAGCAGCCAATTTAATATGATCCGCAAGTGGAGAGCTTCTCGCGGTTAATAATCAACACCCTTTGTGTAAGCCCATCTCCTGCACACATTCCAGCTACTCCTTAGGAATTAGTGGAGCCATTTCAATAGGCCAGGAATCAAGTTGTCTGTGTTCACTCCCACAACGGCGCAAACGGTCCTTTCTAGCTGCGACCGTCTACGATAATGCCAAAAGAGTGAAAAGTCCAACCCATGCGGACAGTTTGGACTGCACTTGTAAGAACTATTTTAATGAAAAGCATTGAATGAGAGGTGTGAGATTTTAACAAGTCTTACATTAAACTTCCTTGAACCTGCAGATGACCTACTACTTGCCACTAATATGAAAGATGTGATCCATGTGGGTTAAGGATGGTTGCTGGTGGAGTCTCTGAAGTAGAGATGGTCCATAAAGCGCAGCCATACCTAACGCTCAGGCCTTACATCTTTTAGCATGCGAGTGTTCATTAAACGCTGGCGCACGAGAGGATGGAGTTAATGATCTGTGCTGTGTCTTCAGAGAGCAGTCAGGCGTGAATAATTGTACCCATCTGAAGTGCAGTGGGTACCTGTATCCCCCTCAACATCTGTCTTCTGGTGTTTTTTTTTTTTTTTTTTTTTGGTTTGTTTTTTTTCCCTCATCATGCGATTGTCACACAACTACTGCATCCATGAGAAAATCACTTTTGTTGAGAGTAAAAATAGTCACCTCCCAGTGGGAGATCTCGCTTGTCGGCCTACCTCTCACCCGCTGCGGCCATAACCTCTGTGCTGGCTGCAGCCAAGAGGAAATTACTCAGCGATAGGAACAAAGAACTCGGATGGCCCCCGCTTGCACTGTATTGGTTCAAAAGAAATGGCTTGACCAGGTTAATTAGCCCGCTAGTGAGTTGGACATTATGGCTGTTCCTGTTCATGTTTTTTTTTTTCGAGCAAGTGGCTTCACTCATTCTGCATAACCAAAAAGAAAAGGATTCAGTTTTTTTTTTTCTAAAATTTTGCCATTCACACAAGAGAATATGTCATGGCCAGTATATCAGCGTTGTGTTCGATGAAACGGGCCCCCGATTTTACATCGAGTCCATCAATGTATGAGTAAAAGAGACGAGGTCATCATTTTTTTTTTTGGGGGGGCGGGGGGCGGGCGGGTTTGCACTTTCCGGTGACATTTTTGTTCAGTGCTGTAAGATTTTACTCATATAAAATTGCTGTCTTGGCTCAATAATGATTTGAGCGACTGCCCTGGCCACTTGCCAACGGTGCTCCGCCATGGAGCACAACCACTCGGCCATTTCTGTTGAACTGCGAATGTCTGGAAGACTCCCAACAGTGGGCGCACTACTTTTCAATGATAGTTTCATTGGTGAAAATGAATTTTGCCTACTTACCTTTAAGGCTGACAACCAGAAACTGTTGCAGTCGTGACAAACCAAACGTTTGTTATATATTTATATATGCATATATATTTTTTTTTACCTTATGCTTATTACCTAGCTTTGGTAATCATGACTTCAATTCGCCTATTTCAATCTCCAACTGATTATTATTATTATTATCGAGTTGTTTCTAAGTTCAAAAACGCAATATTAGTCAGAAATTCGTGTTTCGACTCAAATAGAACATATGATTACAAACATTTTTCCCTTCGCCGTTGCTTTAACTCCTGAAAAGGCAATAATCGCTCTGGTGTGTTTTTGTGTTGTTGATAGCAAGTCCATGCCCTTATTTATTTATTTATTTATTCATTCATTCATTCATTCATTTAAAGATTCTTTGGGATTCTTTGAGCTGCTGCTCTTTGAAGAGTACCGATAATTGAATCCAGCTTGTCATGTCTAAAGAGTCACGAGGCGCAACAACCCAATTCCCCGCTCTAGTTCACGGCTGCGCACACAAAAAGATGGTAGCCTGCAGCCGAGAAATGGCGCTTTCAGTAGATAGTGAAACCAAGTTTCCGGAATGGCGGCACACGGCAAGGAGGGGAAAGAGGTTAAGCTATTAGCCTTCTGCATTCAACATTCCGGCAGTGTCACTCTTGATTCTTAGCCTGCCTTCTTCCTTCCTTGCGTTCTGTGGACCGGCTGTCTCTCGTCAAGGTACCGTAATATCCGGACTATAGAGTGCACCTGATTATAAGCCACACCCACGACATTTTTCAAGGAAAAACCATTTTGTACACACACAAGCCACACCTGTCTATAAGCCGCAGGTGCCCATATTGTAACGAGATATTTCCAAAGAAAAACGGTACAGAGAAAGAGGGTTCAAGGTTTAATAACATACCATAACTTTTATTTGCCTGTAACACGGCAAAGCATGGCGACAGTAAAACAGCACTCACACGGCTGGTTTAAAAAAACAAAACAAAAAAAGGCACCGTTCCCTGCCGTAACACCATCCACGCTTTCGTGTCAGCTTTCAAGATAATGTCTTTCGGGAGGTTTTCTTTTGGCATATGTAACCAGGTGAGCAACACTATGACTGTTGTAGTGAACGCTGCCTGGTTTAATAAATGGAACACTGTCACTTTAAAAAGAGCATTGGATAATCTCGTGGGAAGTCTCATGAGACTTGGACCAGGAAGTGAAGTGAGACGAACACTGAGCTGTGCTTATTCAGACCTGATGTACAGTCAAACTTCGGTTTTCGAACATCTTTGTGATCGTCCAATTCAGATTTCGACCAGAAAATTCGAGATTTTTACGCCTCGGATTACGACCGAAAACTGGTTTTCGACCAAACTGAGCTAACCCGAATACGCAACTCGACTCCTCTCAGCTTCCTTACACGAGGAAGCTTCCTCGTGTAATGTTCATTGTGAGCTGACATATTTGTTGTGATTTACGCAAATCTTTTTTTTTTGTTTTGGTTTTTTTTTTTGGTTATTTCTGCATAGCCCCTAATCATGGGCTACTAAATTAGTTTCGGATTTCGAACAAATCGTTTTTCGAACAACCTTCTGGAACGGATTATGGTTGAAGACCAAGGTATGACTGTATCTGCAATCGGCATTGTAACCCGGCTGATACTAAGAGTAAAATATCGTCGTTTGGGATTTGGAACGGTGTCGCACAATGGGTCGCGTGAACAGCCGTGAAGCAAGGGAAATTCGTAGTTTTCCACGTGTTTCGGGCACATATAACATGCCGGAAAGTGCACACCAGTTACTACTGTTGTCTATTTTTGTATACTTTTCTATTTGTTAGTCCCATTTGATTTTATCAGTCTCCTATTTTATTAATGCTGTACATTTTCTATGTTCAGTCGGGAATAAAGCCCTCCATAAAAATTATTTTGCGTTCGGTCAAGTCTGTCAGAGACACAGCCAAG